AAAAAAAAAAAAAAAAAAAAAAAACGGAGCAGAGATTGGGGCACGTTTGTGTCAGCTCTGCGAAGCCAGCACCAGCAGAGCCGGGGCTGTGCCACGGGACCCGCTCCCGCCCAGCCCCGCCGCCGGGCTCCGCGGTCTCGGAGCGACCGTGTGCGCTGGGAACGGAGCGTTCCTCGGGGCCTCCCTCTGCCCGGCTGGGTCTGACCGCGGGGACCCGGGCCCCGCTCGCTGCGCGCCCCGACGGCCTCGGTGCGCAGGGAGGTTCAGCCAGGCCGGCTCACAGCCCGGTGCTCAGCGCCGGGAGGCCGCGTGTTGCTATTAGCGTTCAATATACGGCTAATTATGCGTATGAAAATTAAACATCAGTGTTATGCTAATGGAGCCGCCTTCAGCTGGGAGCCGAGCACTTGAGACTAGCATTTAATCAAATGAGTCGGTAACGAATACATCTGCACGTGTGAACTTTCGCGGGATCATTTTCCTGTTACAGTCACACCGCTGAATTATGAAAGAAATAATTACCGACACTTTCTAATTATCCAACAAAGTAATTTGGGATTCATCGCGGGCTTTCTGGGGAGGATCTCCCAAGTCCCACCTCGCTCCCTGCTCACGCACGCGGAAGTTAGCGTGCTCAGCTCAATCGCGCGTCGGGCCGAGCGGGGCGAGCCGCGATCCCCCGCGCTGGGCTCCCATCTCCCCATCCTCCACCGCTTTAAGAGCGGTGTCCGGGCGGGCGCGGCCCGAGGACGGGCGGGACCCCGGCGGGGAGCGGGCACCGCGCGGCGGGCGCGGCTGTGTCCGCGGCCAGAGTGGCTCCGGAGCGCCTCGGGGCCGTCCCCGCGCTCCCATCCGCGCCGGGGGCGATGCCTTCCGGTCCCGGCCCCGGCCCCGACGGCTCCCGGCCGTCCAGCGGTGCCGTCGGGGCGTGCGGCCGGGAGGCGCGGCGCTGCCGGCGCGGCTCTCCGCGCTCACCGGGGTCCGGGCGAGCCCCGAGCGGCTCGGACCAATCCAAAGCGATTATGCAAGACGGGGAACCAATCAGCTCCGCCGGCTCATGAATATTCATCGGCTCGGATGAGTCAAAGCTTTTAGGCGAGTTTGTGTAGATGAGCGGCATCACGCTCAGACTTTTCAAAGAGACAAACTCCATTTTCTTATGAATGGAAAGTGAAAACCCTGTTCCGCTTAAATTGGGTTCTTTCCCGTCCTGAGAAACACAACAGACCCCCAAAAGGCACGCTGAAGAGAGAGCACACACACAGACCCAGCGGCGAGAAATGACCATGACTACCATGCCTGAGAGTCTAAACAGCCCCGTCTCGGGGAAGGCCGTCTTTATGGAGTTCGGGCCGCCCGGCCAGCAAATGTCTCCTTCTCCCATGTCCCATGGACACTATTCCATGCACTGTTTACACTCCGCGGGCCACTCGCAGCCCGACAGCGCGTACAGCACAGCTTCGTCCTTCTCCCGACCGCTGGGCTACCCCTATGTGAACTCGGTGAGCAGCCACTCCGGCAACCCCTACATCAGTTCAGTACAGCCCTACCCCAACAGCTCCGGCCTGGCCCAGCCCCGGCTGGAGGAGACAGGTAGGTGCCGGGGGCGGGGGGCGCGGAGCGAAGTAGATCCGCCGGGGGGGGAGCGAGGCGGCATCGCGGAGCGCTGTGTGTGAGCCGGGCGGGGCCGGGGCCGCGGGGAGCGGGGAGCGGGCGCCGAGCGGAGCGGACCCAGCCCAGCTGCGCGCGGAGCGGTCCCCGTCATTATTTATTGCGTAGCGCTATAAACAATGTGCGCAATTAAGGGTAATTAAACCTCGGCTGCAGCCGGTAAAAATAGCAAACTTTGTTGGGATGGAGCCGGGGCTGCCACCGCCGCGCGGAGCCTTTGTTGGCTCTGCGGCGCTCCGCCGCCCCGTCGCCGTGAGCGCTGCGCTGTTACCGTCGCCGTCGCCGTCGCCGTTACTGCTATTTTCTCGCTGCTATCACTGTTATTTACTGTGCACCGTTTGTGGTTGTAGGGGCCGAATCGGAGAAAAGCACTGTGGTAGAAGGAGGGGAAGTTCGCTTTAATGGGAAAGGGAAAAAAATCCGCAAACCCAGGACTATTTATTCCAGTTTGCAGCTGCAGGCTCTGAACAGGAGGTTCCAGCAAACCCAGTACCTGGCCCTGCCCGAGAGAGCCGAGCTCGCGGCCTCTCTGGGACTCACTCAGACTCAGGTACGGCCCCTCCGCGCCCCGCCGCCCCGGGCCAGGCCCGGCGGGGTCGCTCGTACCGAAGCCGCGCGCTCGTCCCGTCCGCGGGGCCGATCCCGGCCGGGCTGCGTGAGGCGGGGGGGGCGAGGTCGGAGGGAGCGGGACACTGCGCGGGGGCGGCCGGGGCGCGGGGGCACCGCGGGGCGAGGGCGGCCGGGGGCCGTCGGGGCGGGCAGGGCGAATGTGAGGGCCCGCCGGGCTGCGCTGAGCCGTGCCGCGCTGCCGTTGCAGGTGAAGATCTGGTTCCAGAACAAGCGCTCCAAATTCAAGAAGCTGATGAAGCAGGGAGGGGCGGCCCTGGAGAGCGGCGCTCTGAGCAACGGCCGGGCCCTGTCCGGCGGCTCTCCCCCGGTGCCCGCCGTGTGGAACACCTCCTCCGCCTCCGGGAAGGCGTCCTCGGGCAGCGCCGGCACCTACATCCCCAGCTACACGTCGTGGTACCCCTCGGCCCACCAAGAAGCTATGCAGCAGCCGCAGCTTATGTGAGCCCGAGCACGTTTTTACCCGCCGCGAGCCGAAAAAAAAATTCACATTATCACGGACAAAAAAAAAAAAAAAAAAAAAAAAAAAAAAAAAAGGAAAAAGAAAAAAAAAAAGAGTAAAATAAAAAGGTAAACAAAACAAAAACAAAACAAAACGGAGAGGAGGAGGAAGGAGAAGAGGACAAAGGCGCGCCAGCAGCCGGCCGGGCCCTCCCGCTCCGGGCACAGATGCGACGCGGCGCGTCCCCGCCGGCGGCAGCTGACGGAGCGCGGCCGGGGGACAATCGGGGCCGCCCCTCTGTCTGTGTTGTGTGGGATCTGGGTCACGGATGCGGCCCGGCAGTGCGGGGCAGCGGCCGTACCGCGTCCCGAGCGTGCCCTCTGCGTTTCCTGTCTCTTTCCCCGTCCATCTGTATATTTTTTGTTCTTGTCTAAGGGGAAGAAAGGGATTTTATTTATTGACCGAATTACCGCTGAGGAGCTCCGTGCGCAGCCGGGCGCGGAGCGCGCGGCTCCGGCAAAAGCGCCCGGTGCCGTTTCCCCGTCCAAAAAAACACGCAAAACAAAACAAAAGCGAAACGCCGCACGGAAGGACGCGCTTTGTAACTTTTCCCATCGCTTTTCTACTTCGCTGCTGCGGAGATCCCCGGCCCCAACGCCGCGCACCGCCCCGCGCCGAACAAAGGACGGCCGCGCGCCGCCCCCCGCCCTGGAGCGGCTTTGCGGAGCGCTGTGCGGACTCGCATGGAGGCGGCGGGGGGACCGCGTACCCCTCGCTCCGCAGTGCGGGGCCCGTCCCGGAGCGC